TCGGCGCTCGCGGGTTGGCGCTGGGCTCGCCGCCCCGCCCCGGCGCCCCACTGACTGTTCCGCCTTCAGCCCGGCTGGCCACTGCCTCTCATTGGTCGGGCAGCCGTCTCTCTCCAGCACGAGGCGCTCATTAGCTGCATCCCTCTCGGGCAGGCTCGGTCCGTAGCAGCTCCCCCGTCCCGCCTCCTGGATACGGGTTCCCCATTGGCTGGCTCGTTCTGCCCACGCGCAGGTGTGCGCGCTCCCGGGGCTCAACATCAGGACCAGGGCCCGGCTGCGGGAAGATCGATGCGAGAGGCGGACAACCTCGGTTCCAGTCTAACCCCTGCGAGTTCCTAGCTCGCTAACGGGCCGTCTCTGTGTCTCCTTCGATTTCCCTGCTCTCCCTTACTAGGCGTTTGTGACAGTCACATGAGATCAGGGACGTGATACCGCTCGGCAGCGCCTGCAAGTGCAGCAAATTGCAGACCAAGCGTGGGCAGCCATGGTGGCTAGACGCTCCCTTCCGCGTGTGTGGAAACAAGGCCAGATGCTTTCGAGACTGCTGTCACTGACGTGCATTTGCAGGTTCTACATGCGGTTTGTGTCTCTGCCGTCTACTTAATCCAAAGGGAAGGGTTTCATCCAGTCTCTTCTCAGAGGGAGGAAAGGTAGGAAGGGAGGCATACGCTCCCATTTTCACCCTCAGAAAACAAGAGCAACTCAGTGTGGTTAGTTCATTACATGGTGAAGGACAGATTCCTCTAGCGGAAAATAAAGTTGGGGATGAGTTTCAGGATAAATAAGGGAAACCCACATTTAATTCGTCAGATTGTGGCTAAGAGAGGAGACTGAAAGGATTCATAAGATAGTAAAAGAGCATACAGCTGGGATTCTAAGTCAGCTCTCTGAGTCATAAAACTGCCAAACTGGTTACTAGTAAAGCGGTAGACGAACAAACATGCATTTCTTATAATCTTAAAAGAATCTTTCTGGCAATGTTTATGTCAGAATAAAACTTTTTAAGTTCACTCCCAATGACTCAAGATATTCCCTTAAATTTTTTGTTAAATAAGCATTCATCAGTTACTTTGTGCCAAGTTCTCTTATGTGCTGACTTAATCCAATCCTTGTAGCTTCTTGGTAAGGTAAATTTTACTAACCCTAAAATTCCACTCCCCCCCACCACCAAACAAAAGGCCTCACATATTTATTACTGAACCAACCTACTGGTGCAGAAGCATAGGAACAGAGGAAAATCATCTTCCCAATAAAACATGTCTATTGTTCAGGTAGTAGTGATGTTTACACTAGGAGACCAGGAGTGAAGCTGGGTGACTCTATCAAGCTCCCTACTGCTGCATAACAAACTACCCCAAAACTTAGTGGCTACAAGTAACAATCATTTACTTTGCCCATAAATCTGTGCTTTGGGCAGGGCTCGGTGAGATCAGCTCATCTCTGTTCCATGTGGTGTCAGATGGGGCTGTTCCACTAGGGGCTGGAGGATCCACTTTCAAAATGACTCGAGATGGCTGGCAAGATGGTGTTGGCGATCAGTTGAAATCTCAGCTAGGGCCCGGTTCCACTCCACAAGCTGCTTCAGTTTGCCCTTAATTTGAAGGCTGAATTCTAAGGGTACACATCCAGAGATAGGATGGTTTGGGTCCAGAAACCAGCAGTCACTTCTACCAAATTCTATTGGTCACCCACAAAGTCCAGATTCAAGGAGATTTGGAGCCATGTTTTAAAATCTCCACAGTGAACTTGACCATGTGGACAGTCTAAGCAGATAGAAGAGTATACTTCCTATCACTGGGACTATGGGAAGCAATGGATTAGGGAGCCAGGGTATACAGACAAGATTGGAAGAGTAATGAAATCCAAGGCCAAATTGCTGGAAAGGCTGGCTCCAAAGAGGGCCACTCAGCCAGGAGGCTGGGTATGTAGAGGCCAGCTGAGAAGCAAATGTACAAAGCCAGGCAGAGCTTGGCAAGGACTCGTGGAAGCCGAAGATTTGAGTAAGGCCACGTGTCAGTAATCTGGTTGAGAGGATCAAAGTCCAGCAGTTCAAGTGAAGTGGTTAAAGCAGATAAGACAATTAGAACCAAGAAGGAAGTGTAAGAAAATAAGGCAATGCCAGAGAAGGCAGAAACTGGAGTCCAGATCTAAGAAATACCTAAGAATCAGAATGAAGCAAGGCCAAGGAGGTAGGAAAACAGATAAGACTTCAACACCAAGGCAGGGTGTAGAATGATGTCTACACTGCATCCATTTGGCTGAGCCGCTGTGGGATCTCAAGGTACTTCTGCTGAGTGTCGACTAGGTGGGTCAGCAGTCAATGAAGGGACCATAATGTCAATATACAGGCGGACAAAGACACTAAACACATGAACGGCAGCTTTGTCAATTCAGGTTTTATTGAAGTTGCTTCTGAATATTCTATTTCATCCTTAGTTTTCCCTATCTGATTTGCTTTAGTGTACAAGAACCTTTCTTCACTTATCAGATTCTTTGCCATGAAAGAGCACCAATTAACTTATCAGTATCAAACTGATTCCCTTATGACACTGAAGAAAATCTGTACAAGGTTTGTAGAATCCATGTACTAAAACACCAGGATCCCCTCTTCAAGTGAGCCAAAGCTTCCTTACATATCTGCAGGCCTACAACATTTTTTCGCTTTACCATCAAGATCAAAGTAAAGAAGAGCACACACACAATTTTCTTGCTCCTCCAGTCTAAAAGTGTGGATTTCTTGCATTAGTTTAAAAAACACAGAAAAAAACCAAAAGCTAGAAGGAAAATAAGTCACTGTGATTAAATTACAATTTTTTTTATAGAGAAGCAGCATTTAACCAGTTTTCCCCTTTCCCTAGACTTTAGGCAGCTATAAAAACATAGGCAAAATAACATGTATAATAAAAAGTAATAAAAATAAATATTTGAGGGCCTACTGCAGTAGACAATTTACACATTTCATTTAATCTTCACAATACTGTGAGGGAATTATAATCATTGTACAAACAAGGAAGCAGGCTCAGAAGGGTGAAATGACTGGGGCCCAAGATCACACAGGTGACCGGGCTGGGATTTATGTTCAAGTCTATGCCTCCAGAGCCTAAGCTCTATTACGCTGCTCTGGCTCCCAAAAGCCCAACTTTTTGAGACTCTTACCATTGTAGCTCCATCTTCTAAATTTACACTTTTAAGTCTGCATAACTACTGAATAATAAAAGAACTTAAAGTTATTCTCAATCTACTTGCTAAAACAGGAGTTTGCAAGGAATATTAGAAAACTCTTCAAGTACTTGGAACAGTCCATACCTAAAATGATGGTTGTTCTAATTCACTGATAATGACAGCTAGTAATTCAAGAACACATAGGTAATTGCAATTGGCTCCTTTTCTTGTTGCCACCATCTGTCAATCTCAAAGGAATGAAGGCAAAAAAAAAGACAAATTCCTATTGTGAAATCCAACTGCTCATTACATTTACAGTATGCACTTAGTGGAAAGCCCAAAGAGGTTCTGGTTTAAAAATCTTACCACCAGTCTTTTGTTTGCTTCTTAAAAGCACTCATTTGTTTTTTTTTAAGTATCTAATTCTGGTGGAGATGGCAGGGCCCAGTGGGGGATGACTTTATTGATACATATGAGGAGTCTGCTAGAACAATCTATGATGTCTAAGAGGATAACTTTTAATACTCCACAGAATGGGGTCATAAAGTTCCAGTAGAAATGGATTTACTTTATGGATAACTAACTTAAAAAGCCTGAACCTATGCAATCTGGACATCTAACAATCTTTGTCCATTGGGGACATATTTGCACGTTCATTAGAGAACTGTTGGATCTTAAATGATTAAAGTTAGTATCTAGTTGTTCCTTATTCAAGTTCTTACTGAAATTTAGGTTACTAGTTTTAGACATTTTTTGAGTCCAGTCCTAAAAAGACGTTTTCATGCTTAAGAAGCTGAAAGGGTGAGATGAGATCATCATTAAGGCCTCTTTGAACATTAAAGTCTCCGTAACTGACCTCCTTTCTAAAGTCTGATTGGTAGGTCATTCACTTGCTCGTTTAATGAACAAATCTTTTACAGAACACCAGCCATAAGCAGGGCTAAAAAAAGTAAAAAATAAACATATAGGCTCATTAATTCTAGGAGGTCGATACATAAAGGACAGCTAGATGTTAATAAACGTAACATAAAAAAGAGAGGAAAACTAGAAAATAAAGCTTATCAGTGTGAGAGAGGTAGTGATTTGCGAGTACCAAATAAAAAAAATTCAGCATAACTAAATGAAATGAGAAATTGTAGAAACCTAACATTTTTGTCCTGACCGCCTCCCTGCATAATCTAACAAAGGATGATGAGGCAAATCTGACACAGCGGAAACTTTAAGGACTAGTGGAGACAAAAGTTGTAGGTAAATTACCCACATAGACTGATTTGCGTCATTAGCTATTGGTGCTGCCTTGGTTTCCCTGAAATAATTATATACCCAGGGAGGCCGAAAATAACTGGAAGGTAACTCAGTGAAGAAAGCACAAGGATTCTTGGTCATACTCGCTAGAAAGGAACCCGGTATCTTGAATTTCTTGATATTTCCTTTCTATGCCTCCAGAGCCTAAGCTCTATTATGCTGCTCTGGCTCCCAAGTCTTGCCTGGGCCTTACTTAGCCCTTGTAAATGGCAGTCGGAAAGGGACCATGCACGTGCATACGGCCCACCTGGCGGGGACTGCGAGGATGAAAGATGGCGAAAAGGCAAATAAAACCGAAAGGGGAAATCCTGAAAACCTGTGTGCATGCGAACCAACCCAGACGGTCTAAACTCATGCAGCTCTAAAGCTTTATCATCTAAGTACCCAGCTGTTGAACCAATCCCTACCATCTCCTTTTCCCATGAAATACAAGATCCTATATAGTTCCTGTTATAGGGACCATTAGAAAGAAACATTCAGTTGAAAATACATGAACACATACTCATTTCCACATTTTAAAAAGATTTTCAATTGATAGTCATCCGAGTACCAATTTCAAAATAATTTTCTTAAACATATTTGGACGAAGGCCATTGGATCACTTGTCACATTGTTCAAATGCCCAATGGCAAGACTTCCGATGAGACCAAATAGGTCACATTAAATCAGTAGAGTATCTTAGAAATAAAGCCAATATGACTAAATCCAAAACAGATCACATGAAGTACCTCATGTACAATACAAACCTAGTTTAATAAATAAAGGAAACACAGGTGACTGTACCCTGGAACATTCGGTCCCTCATGGCCCATTCACAGTCTTCTCTGAGACTCCACGGCCACTTCCACCCGGGCAAGTCTGATGGTGCGGCCGTGAAGCTTGTAGCCATCCTGCCTTACTAACGCCACGGTGCCAGGCTGCACCCCAACACGAGCTGGCACGTGACAGAGGAGTTCATGCTCATGAGGGTCATATTTGTCACCGACAGGTGTCATCTTCTCCAGGCCATGTTTGGCAAACACACTTTTCAGCTTTGCTTCTAAAAGTGACAAGCCTCGGAAGATCTTCTCCAAAGTGAGCTTCTGGTCCCCAGGCTCTGTTTCTTCAGAAATGCACTCTCTAGTCTTCTCCAAAATGTCTGCCACTTCTACCAGGTCCTTGCAGAAACTCTGAATTCCTAGAGAAACCAGACACTTTTACCGTTTGTGAGGAAATCACTTTGCTCTTGGGGGTGAAGTATGGGGAAGGCCCAGACAAGTGGCTTGTATACTGGATACCCCAGGAAGTGGGAGGATTGCCACACAGGACCCTGGGATCATCATCAACGATTATCACCTTAACCCAACTGACAAACCGGGGTTTCTCTTGGAAGGCATATGACTGGGAAGCCTACTAGGGAAAGGGGAAGATGGTTAGAACCTAAGAACTAGGTAAGTCTGCACGCAGGAGGCTCAGAAACCCATCCTTTAAAAACTAGATCATTGTTTCTTTTTATTTTTATTGCTATTCACCTTTAGTACTGAGTTACGTACATTTTGAAAATTCTTGTAGGTCTTAATTTTGCTAAGACATACATTCTCAATAGGGACAAGATATTGGCATTTCATGGGGCAGGGGGCAATAATACAAAAGTTAGTTGACAAGCCCATGCTAAGGGAGCTTCAAGCACGGTTTATTCTCGAGGATTGGCTAAACAGGGACAGGAAAGTAGGATACTCCATAGATGAGATGAGTGTCCAACTGTCTGCTCGAAAGTTACATATATTTGCTAGAGATGGGCCACAACACTTTTAAAATCCTTTTAGTCATATGAACTGTTCTAAAAGTAAACTCAATTGTTAAGAAATCTCATTACTCCCAATGCAGCATCTTGATTTTTCTTACAGAAATGTTAAGGAATGTCATCATTACAGATATCTATAACAGCAAAGCCCTGGTGGGAACTAGTGAAGGGTGAAGGATTTTGTTCATCTGGTTTTAATCCAGGGACAGTTTTTTTAAAAAAATATTTTATTTATTCATTGGCGGGTGGGGGAGAGTGCATGCACGAGTGGGATGAGGGGCAGAGGGAGAGGGAGAAGCAAACTCCCTGCTGAGCAGGAAGCCCGAGGCTCGATCCCAGGACCACGAGATCATGACCTGAGCCGAAGTCAGTCACTTAACTGACTGAGCCACCCAGGGACCCCAATCCAGGGACAGTTTTTAAGGCCATGCATCAAAACAGGCAGCCACCTTAACTGTATTCAGAGGTAAAAAGGAAGATTATCTACAGGGAAGCAATAAAAGAGATGACAGAGAAATTTTCTAGACTTGCTGCCTAGATTCTGGGAGGAACAACTGAGAGAGGTAGGAATTCTATCTTTTAACTTCTGGGTGATAGAGATGCATTATAGCACCTTGGGAAAAACAAGTGTAATAGGATTCAAATTAGTCTAATAACGTACATAATGGATTTGGGGTGCTAGGGCATGACAGATGGGCAGGAAGAGAAGATATCAGAAGAAACAGGAGAACCAATGAAGGAATGCTGGTGTGACCTGGTGTGGTGAAGAAGAGGCGAAGGAGAGAAAAGAGTAAAACCAGCAGGCATTTCCCGGGAACCAGACTTGGTGTGATCAATTTCCACAAGATACTTCTCCCACCTCCACTGGGGATGGCAGCCATAAATATTAATGGCTATTAATAAAATCAGCTGGAAAGGTAGAAGAGATTTGCCAAAGGCTTGAGAAGTATGCCGATAAGATCAAAACTCCACCCAAGAGAAAAGGATGTCTCATTAAGAACAATCAGGGGGCACTAAAGGCATCTCATAAGAAGACATATATGCTTATAGAATTTTGAAAGTGGCAGGCTTCTGGGCAGACTTGTACACTGCCATGGTACAAAGAACCCTGGCTTCTGTTCAGTCACATTGTATGAATTTGGGTAAACGGAAGCCCAGGTTCTCTTGTGTATAGTGAGGGGTTCAGTCTCTGATTCTATTCTAATTACTGTTACTTTAATAGGAAGTTAGTGTCTGCACCATTTCTTGGGAGTGGGGGGTGAGGGAGAATCTTTATGACCTGTTTAAGAGTTACTGAGACAAAACAATTCCTGGAAGGAGGGTCATTATGCTATACTACATATTAGCTAAAAACAGTAAAAGCTTTCTACTTTTTTCCTACCTCCATGCTCCCTGACCAATCTTGAATTTTTCTAAGTATTCCCGGCCACTAGAAGGAAATGACCCAAGCAAATAACTTAGGTGGCATACTGCTAGACACATTCTGCTCTCTGAATGAATACATTAGATTATCAAATTATTTTGAGCTTAGCTAATACTTGTTTGTTCCTGGGAACCTTATCAATTCTTGAGGAAATTGATATAACTGATATAACCCATCAAAGCTTGACTTCTGGTAAGCCATTTTACCCTGTTCCCCTCAAGCAGGCAAGAGGTCTTCCCCAGAAACCAGTTGGTTTATTTGCTACAGAAATTCCTTGTAGCTCAAAGGTCAGCAAACTTTTCCTAAAGGGCCATATAGTAAATATTTTAGGTTTTACTAGAGGCAAAAATCAAGGATCTTATGTAGGTGATTATTTAATAAATCAGAAAATTTATTTCTATAAATTTTTAATAATGAAATTCAGAACTGTATTTATGGACTAACACACAGGCTGTAGTTTGCTAAGCCCTGTCCTGATGGTTGGAAATAAGACACTAAAACTTGGATGAAACATCAGTAATACAATTTGGAGGTCAGTACTTAAGCTGATACTCATAGCCTTGAAATGTGATGTCTCTAGCACTGAATGAAAAGCAGAAGGCTATGCCAAAGCACTGGGGCTGGATGGGACAGGATAGGAATGAAGTGAATCCTGTGCACAAATAGCAGATAAAATCCAGAGAACAGGAACTAGCGTGACATAGGTGAAAGACTAATAGACTGGGGGTCAGGAGACAATGGACTCATGTCTCTGTTACCAATTAACTTTTTTCAGCTCACTTGTAAAAGGAGATTGGACTACATACAATCCAAGGGCTCCCCAAGCACCTTCATTCTATGTGAAGTGAAAGTATAATGCTCTGTATGAAATTGTGAGCAAGGCAAGTAATCACAGATTTGCCCTCTACCCTTCAATCCCTGTTACTAACACTTTCATGAACACATTTGGAACGAGATGTTGTGTGTTCAGAGAAAAATTTCTGTAAGACTTTATTTTTTATTTTTTTAAATGTGAGTCCTTCAAACGTATATATATATATTTGAGATTTTATTTTTAAGTAATCTCTACACCCAATGTGGGGCTCAAAAGCCTAACCCAGAGATCAAGAGTCGCATGCTTCACAAAGCCAGCCAGGCACCCCTGAAAGACTTCAAATTGACCAAAAAGATTATTCGGTCATCAGTGAAAAAATAGATGTGATCTAGTACAACTTCCAGAGTTATCTGCTTCCATATGGTCCGAGCCTTTGTCTTTTGAGTTATTCTGTAACTTAGTAAGTTGTAAATACTGATGGTAATGCAAATGATTTTTGTCCATAGTAGTGACAATAGTTGTAGTGTCCATAGTAATGAAAATGATTTTCGTCCACTTCATCTCTCTGCTGGAGATAGTTGATTACTGCACTATGGATATAGACCAGTTTTGCTTCTATGAAGCAAATTTTAGTATTCCTGATTGCCCATGTGTCTTGTTCTTTGGATTCTCCTCTGAACATCTTAATGATTCACTTGTTTGTTAATGAGTTAAACAGAATTGATTGTATAAGCACTAGAATGTTAAGTGTACATGCTTGAAAAATAAAGTAACAAAGGTTTTGGTCAAAACAAAGGCAAGCATTATTTTAGCAAATGGTTGACTTGGCAACATTCCCAATAAAGATCTTAGAAAACATATGGCAAGAGTGGAAGGGCAGGGTAGGATTGGTTTAGGACCTAGATGTGTTTTTTACTATGTTCAGTTTGCAAAACTGCTAGTAAGTATCCTTAAACTAAAAGGTATTTTTTTTTTTTTTTTGAGACAGAGTGCCCGCATGCAGGGGGCGGAGGGGCAGAGGGAGAGACAGAATCCGAAGCAGGCTCCATGCCCAGTGTAGAGCCCAATGCGGGGTTCAACCTTCCGACCAAGATCATGACCTCAGCCGAAGCCAAGAATCCGACACTTAACCGACTGAGCCACCCAGGTGTCCCAAACTCAAAGGTATTTTAGTTTTTATCACAAATAAATCTCTCACCAAATATCTTGGCATCTTCAACACATCTCTGGGTTCGCCGCCTTATGTTTTCACCATCGGCTACAGCTCTCTGGTATCTCATCTGACACCAAAAGCAAAGTCAAAATGATCAGAAAATACATGCTTGCTGGTGGAAAAGAATGTTTTTGCTTACTTTACAAACTTCACCCTTGTGACAGGTTTTTATAAAAACAAAAATTAGGAGCTGTAGGAATCTTAGATCAGCTACTACAAATCCCGAGTCAAAGCAGGAACTTACTCTTCACAGCAGCCCTGATAGGCTGTCATTTAGCCTCCTACTCTTAACACTTCACAACAGTTTTCAAGCTCATTATCTTGAGCGAAAGCTTCCTTTTTCAGACACAGCCAACACTTGCCAACCCTCTTTCTTTTGTTGAACTGAACTCCAGGACATCAAACAGTAAGTTTTAAAAATGTGTCATCTATTTGAAGGCAGTTAGTTTAGCTCCTTTAATCTTTTCCTCTTTCATTCTTATAATCCTTCATTCCTTTAATTGCTCTCACAAGACATGCTTTGCTACCTCCTTACCATTCTGGGTGGCCTTGCTTTGGAACTACTCTAATTATCGCCCTCAAAGTGTGTCTGTCACCCCGGTATGGTAGAGTATGCCAGATGGAGTCTGACTGGCAGAGTACAATGATAAATGACATATTCATCCAACAAATATCTACAGAGGTTTTACTACATGCCAGGCCCTGAGCCTCCTCTGGTATGTAAGTACTGTGACATAACATGTTTTCAACTATGATAGCCTACTTTGCCTAGTATACCTAGCAGGAGAGTGGAGATAGGGGGGAGAGGTAAAGAGCCAATGAGAGGAAATTTAATTTAAAAAATGGACACAAAAACTGTACGTAGATATTTAAACCAGAGAGGGGATGTGAGGGACAGACAAAATCTACTCACTGTTAAGTCCTGGACTTCCTTCTCCAGTTTCACAGCTTTAAGCTTTAAGGCTCGTTCTGCCAGAGAGGGCCCAAGCTCATCGGGAGGGTCCTCAGAACTGCAGTCCTCACCAGCAGTTCTCTGGGTGGCGGTGCTGAAAGGATGTGGCCATCCCCTTAAGTGGGAGGGAGGGGGCACATGAAGAAATGCCATCACACACAGCCAAACTGCTTGCGGTCACAGTAACACCACCAACACTTAGAAAGGGCTTACTAAGTGCCAGACACCATTGTCAAGGTTTTACGTAAATCATCTTTACATCTCACGGTGCATGAGAGAAATATTATCATCTCAATTTTTATTAAAAGGTTTTATTTATTTATTTGAGACAGAGACAGCACGAGTGGTGGGGAGGGGCAGAGGGAGAGGGAGAGGGAGAAGCAGAACCCCAGCTGAGCAAGAAGCCTGACGCCAGGACCCTGAGATCATGACCTGAGCCAAGGCAGATGTCCAACCCACTGAGCTGCCCAGGCGCCCCTATCATCTCAATTTTATAAATGGGAAAACTGAGGCTCAGAGAGGCTTATGACTTGCATAAGATCACATAGCTAGTATTCTGTTGAGTCAGGATACTGAACACAAGGCAGGGGGAATAGCCAGAAGTGTGGACACAAAAGTCAGCAAGAGAAAAGCAAGTTCTAATGCCCAGAACCACCGGGGCCATATCAGAAGCGGGAATTCAAAACACAAATAATTTCTGATTCAGTCCTTCATTTTACACATAGGGAAAATTAAGCCCAGGAAAGGGACTGTGTCAAACTGGAGTTAGGCCTAGAATTCTAAAGCTTTCTTGACAAGCTCTGAAGTAAGGCTCTTAAGAAACAGAATCTGTGTTAAGAGAAATTCTGAGTTGGGAACTCACTTCTGTGTAAAATCAAGTCAATTAAATACTTATAAAACACTATCTGTTCCAGACTGTGAACTATAAACAGGTGAATAAAATGGACCTTTATATTCGATCATGTTTGTCATCTACAATTTCATACAGCTCAAATGTCTGACATATAGTTGTTTACAAAGGAAGAAATTTAGGGCAGGGGCTACTTTATACATCTTGGCTTATAGCAGTTCTGACTCCTCTTTCAAAGAAGTTTCCATTACACTTTCTGGATTTCCATAATCTGATTCTAAGCAAAACCAACAAAATCAATCTGTGCGTATAAAAGGTCTTTAAAACAAATAATTTACTCATATAAACTGGCATATATTGAAGAGCAGTCATCGTGGTGACATCCGTGCAAAGATTTAAAGGGGGTAAAATGAGTTTGCTTCAAGAAAGGGAGAGGGTGGGGCGCCTGGGTGGCTCAGTTTGTTAAGTGGGTGGCTGCCTGCGGCTCAGGTTATGATCCCAGGGTCCTGAGATCAAGCCCTGCATCGGGCTCCCTGCTGAGCGGGAAGCCTGCTTCTCCCTCTCCCACTCCCCCTGCTTGTGTTCCCCCTCTCACTGTGTCTCTCTCTGTCAAATAAATAAATAAAATCTTTTAAATTAAAAAAAAAAAGGGAGAGGGAACAGTCAGTAGAAAGCTATGGGCAAGATGACTTTTATGTCCCAGACTTTTCAGGCCAGGCCTGAACTCAATTATTACAATCTGGTGTCAGATTATATGTGGTTCCACATTTTTGGTTCAGAAAATATGGTCACCTTAGATGTGGGGCAAATCACACAGGGTGAAATACCTCCTTCCTCCTAAACTCCTAACAAACTACATTTATCCAATTGAAAGTAGGTCATAACACTCCCAGGGCCAGTTTAAAGAGAAAATGGCCAAAGCCCAAGTCTGAAGAGGACAGTTGAGGCTGATTCCTTCAGTTCTTCCTGCTCCAGAACTGGAGTGGGGGGAAATTTTATCAGAAGCAAACTTTTTTCTTCTGGTCACTTCCCTACATCACAAACTGCCAAAAAAGACTTAAAAAGCCTGAAACCCTGAATTCAATCTGGCACCCAGGTGCTAGGGCTGGGTGCTAGGTCAAGTGTGTTAAGATAAAAAGGTGACAAATAGTTATGCGTAATTCCCGGATTCCCCGCAGCTTAATTTACATTTCAGAAGTCCAACCTTACCCCACAGTTCACTCATTTTTATAATTTCTGAGGAAGTCAAACAGAGTCGCCCCTCAGAATAATTAACGTTGCTTACGAATTAAAAGCGCCGATTCTAGAGCCCTGACTGGTTTCTAATCTGGGTTCCACCATTACAGAGTATTTGAGTCTGGGAAAGTTACCGAACTTTTCCAAACCTCAGTTTTTTCGACTGAACGGGAGAATAAAAAGAATTATCCATAGAGTTCTAGAGTTAGCATGATTAGTAATCAATAAAATGTGCCGCAGCCGATGGTGAAGAGCAGCAAATGCAGCTACATAGACTCCCGAGGGCAGGTGGAAGGGCCGTTTGGAGACCAAGTCGACCGCCCTCCTTTTACCGACAGGTAAAGCGAAGCCGAGATAATGGGGAAGGGACTGGCCTAGGGTCACACAGGGAGTCAGCGGGGAGAATTCCAATTTAACTGCAGACACCTCAGCTGGGGGGAAAAGAGCCGGGACACGTACATCCCCAATTCAGTCGATGCTCGGTGCTGAAGAGTTCCCACTTCCGAGGAACGTGACCTCGGCTCTTCCTTGGCCTGGCAAGGAGGCGCGGCTGTGTGCCTCAGTTTCCTTCTCTGTAAAATGGGGCGGTGAGCGCCGGATCGGACAGCCGAGAGGCTTGGTGGGTCATCTCGCGCCCTCCAGCCCACAGCCGCCCTTCCAGCTTTCTGGTCTCGCACTATCCTCAACCCCCGACCCGCGGCCTGCCTGGCTCACCTGCCCTCGGACGCGGCATTCGAGGCAAGGAGGCGCTGCAACAGCCGCCGGACCGCCCATACGGACCGCGCGGCCATATTCCCGATCTCGGCTGACGGAGACAGCGCACGCGCACTTGCTCCAAATGACGAGATAAGCGAGATACCACGCTTCCCGGCAGCCTCTGCGGGCGCTCCCAGCCCGGGGCCTCGGACTCCAACGCCACACTTCCGGTTGTCAGTGCGCGCGCGGTGCTGGTGCCTATCCGGCGTCTCCGACCGCACGCGACACTTCCGGTCCCCTCGTGTTGGGCGCGAAGGGCGGCTTTCTGTGGCGGGACTTAGGCTTCGTGCTGGTCGCGAAATCCGCGGCCAACACAGGGGATCGTAGCTGTACCCTCAAGGAGGTTCCGTGAAATTGTAAACAATAAGTGAATGCAAACGCGACTTCAAGTCAAAATATGACTGGTGGTTAAAGGTGGTGGGCGTGGTGCCGCGGAAGCCTAGAATACGTTGTGGCCAAGTGTGGGCAGTTTCCCCAGAGGAAATACTCGAACTGAAAGCTGAAGAATGAGTAGATGAAAAGAGGAGGAAAGTGGTTCAGGTAGAGGTAAACAGCATCTGCAAAGACCCAGTCCAGAGGGAGAGTATATTGCGAGTAAGGCGCTGAACTATCGGAGGAAAGAGGGCCCTGCAACACAACACAGTGGAGCAGATCACGCGAGGGATTTAAAAAACTTGAAGCTCAATCCGCCATCACTTTCCCCTGCTTTTCTCTCCAGTTCCCTTGTTTTCTGACTTCGCTATGTTTTTAAATGTTGTGTATTTTCTCATTTCCCTTCCCTGGATTGTGAAATCCATTAGAGCAGTGAGGAGTTGGTTATTGCCAATGAACGATGAAACAGTGTCTTAATGTAGTACACAAATTTTTTGTTGAATGAACTTGAGTCTTACTCTCATTGCAGTGGGAACATGTTACAAAACCTTTACATGTTTAATGGGTCGCTTTGACTCCCGTATGATGGAGATTGCTGGGTCTAAGCAAAGAGGTAGGGAGACAAGCTGTTGTACTAGTCCGTGCAAGGGAGAGCTGTATTCTGTCCTGGAGACACCCTAATGGACCTTTGTAACACCCTATCTGAAGTAGCTACTATTTTAGGTGTGTCCAGCACATTTCTGGTTCCATATTTGTATTTTATTTGTTTTGTTTTCCTTTTGTTTGTTCTCCCAACTAGAGTTTGAGCAAGAGGGTGCGTGTCGTGTTCACAGCCATGATTTCTGACCTCTAGTACAGTAGGTATACATAGTAGGTTCTCAACAAATATTTGTTGAATGAATTAATGGTTGATGTCAGCGGAGATAGGAGGAAGTGGATGAATTTGAGAGAGATTTGGTATGGAAAACTGTCAGGAAGTGAGGACAGATTGGTGATTAGGGTTGAGGGCACTTGGAGTTGCCAGACTACTGGATAGTCCTTAAGGTAAGGAATGGGAAGTGTGCCCTCATCATTCTAAATCTTCACAACATGGCTTACTTGTACTGTAGCTATTTGGGTCAAATTTTCTCTCTGCTTGTCTCTGAGTTCCCTGAGGACAGAGCTGGAGACTTTTGCATCTTTTTATTCTATTCATGGCCCAGCCCAAATGTGTTGTAACCAACACCTGATGCTTCCTTTTGGCCTCAGGAGAAGGGCAACATGGGTCAAGGAGGGATTATGATCCCCTTTTACATTTGAGAAAAGTGAGGCTCAGAGAGGTTGGTACACCTGCTCAGGGTCCCCCACTGAGGATCCAGGGACACTAGAAATCTGATAGTCCCAACACTTGGCAGCGTCAGGAACGATGGAGCTTCAAATCCACCCTAGAGCCATGAGCCTATACCTTGAAAAAAAAAACCAAAAAACCCAACAAAGCATTTTAACAGATGAGGACTGGCATCTATGCTTTAGCCATTTTGTTTACACTTCTTAGCTAACTAACTTACACCAAATGTGCTGCATATGTACATCCATCATTCATCTATTTATTAAGTGCTAGTGTGCTTCTGAATGCTGCAGTGCAAGAGGGGTGGTGGGGTAAGGCATGGATGAAATAGAACCTTGGAACTAAGAGGAAAGGCTGCTAGCTCCACCACTTCCTAACTATGGGCTCCTGCAAGTTACATAACCCCTCTGGGCTTCAGTTTCCCTCACTGAAAACTGGGATAATAGAGCCTATCTCACAGAGTTTTAGTGAAAACAAAAGGGATGATGCCTGGAAAAGTGATTAGTTAGCACCAGGACTGGCTACGCAATTTAAAGAGCAAAAGGAAAACATGACACCCCTTGTTCAAAAATTATTAAGAGGGGGCGCCTGGGTGGCTCAGTCATTAAGTGTCTGCCTTTGGCTCAGGTCATGATCCCAGGGTCCTGGGATCGAGCCCTGCATCAGGCTCCCTGCTCGGCGGAAAGCCTGCTTCTCCCTCTCCCACTCCCCCTACTTGTGTTCCCTCTCTCACTGTGTCTCTCTGTGAAATAAATAAATAAAATCTTTAAAAAAAATTATTAAGAGGGTAACAGCAGAGCATTAAACCAAGCCCAGGGCCCTACTAATCTTTGTGACTGCCCAGGTTGTGTGCTGTGAACCTTGGCTAACACAGTACCTGAGGCATGGAGTGTTCAATAAATGTTTATTATTAATTCTGTAGTCCCCCTCTCAAGGATCCCCAAGATCTATCGGTGGAGAAAAATGTTCAACCCACAAATAACTGCATGAGGAAGAATACATGCTGAGGACATAACTGGAGTGTTGGGTGTCATTCTAGGATCTACACTTTTAGAAAGAACATTAACAATCCAGATTATGTGAGCTGCTTTTTCATTGAAGATGTTTAAGTGGAATCTGGATGAAAACTGTCAGTTATAGATTAGTTGTTTTTTAGTTTTTTGATGGCTGTGATTACCATACAAACATCATTTCTTCAATGGAAAGAACACAGGAGTTTTAGTCAGACATTTCTTATCTAGCTAATAATAAGAGCCACTATCGACTGAGCATTTCCTATTTCTTCGTGTGCAAGATGTTTCCCATATACTATCTCATTGAATTTCCCCAATAGTCTTGGGAGGAAAATGGAACTGTCAACCTGGGTTTCACAGATAAAGAAAACAAGAATCAGAGAGATCAAGTGACTTTCCCAGACTCACCAGCTGGTTAGTGGCAGAGGCAGGGCTCAAACCCAGCCCTGTGTGGATCCAGGCTCATAGGCCCTAAGCATTTTGCTCTGCCTCTGACCAGTTAGGTGATTTTGGTCAGGTTATTTTCCCTGTTCTGGTCTCCAGCTACCTCAAAGGGTGGTAAAGTTGGGATAAGGCAAAAGTATGTAAAGCCCTAGGTAGGGTAAAGTATGTGAAACCTCCAGCAAAGTGTCCAAAGGTTATTCTGGAATTTTCTTTCTCTCTCCTGGAGCTAACCTTTGAGCTCTCAACAGTTAACTGGTTTTATCTTTTTTGGAAGGAAATGTAAAGACCTAAAAAGTGCCTACAGTGTTGAGAAACTAATGAATGGCACAGTAAGGGGACTGCCCAAGACTTGAGGTTCTTGCTTCCCTATAAAAGTATGGAGTGTTAGTAAAAGGCACTCCTGGCAGAAACGAGCCACCGTCCTTTGGTTCTCCCTGACAGTTTTACTTGACAACAGATATGAAGTGCAGACTGGAGAGCCTTCAAGTGCAAAATCAGGATAAAGACATACCGAACATCAGTTGGATTTCTAGCCCTAGCTCCTGGAGCCTGAGTGTCATATGAAATAGGCAAAGGACCCGACTGACCACAAATGACCCCACCCTCCAATGCCTGCAACATCCTGTGGATGTTAGAAATCCACGTTCCTGTCACTATCACTGTGACCTGAAAATAAGTCCACTGCTGAACCTCCCCGCGCCTGCTGCGTATCAGATCTCTAATATGAAAACAACTCAAATGCGGGGTTCTGGTAGCTGCATCTGCCCAGTTCTGAAGCACATAAGGAATGATTGCAGAATTTGCATGTTGTCTATAGCTTTTGTTCACCTTTACGCAGGCAGGGAAATTCTATTGATTTTTTGGCCTCTTTATGTTGCCCAGAGGTCGTCAGTGATGCCTAATATGAATCCAATTGGCACAAGTGTGATCAGATGATCAAGGCTTGTCTCTTTGTACAGTACTACCTACCGCTGCTTCAGCACTGTCTTCCTCTGCCCTACAGCCTGGGAGTGGGATGCTAGAATGGGATGGAATGGCTTATTCACATGTGCATTCATTTCTTCTTCAGAAGTGAGGGCAAAGACATTTAACAAAACCTTTACAACCGTGCAGATTTCTATCTCCCTCCACCCCTGTTTTCCACCCTCTGGGAAGTTACAAGGACACCCTCCATGTCCGTCTTCCCTTCCACTTCTTCCCTCCCCATATCCCCTGTAATCATGCAGACAATAAAGGCTGGTCTTTTGGGTGCCCTGGAGAGGCTACTTCCAGTGGGGGCTACTTCCAGTGTTCTGGCATCTCCTTGTGAAAAAAGTGTTTCCAATACAATCTTGTATTTCCTTTGGAATGAAATCTTCATCCTTTTTCTAGGTCTTCTTCATTTCCCATTCCTGAAGTCCAGAAAGACAAGACAAATCAGGTTGCTGAATATTCTAGTGTGACTTGCAGAATAAAAACATTCCACTGTCCCTAATTACATAAAGATCTCCACTGGCCAGATTAGAGAGCCATGGGTCCTAGTCTCACCCTCCTTTGGTAGCCGTGGGTAAGTCCTTTCTCTACTCTGGGCCTCATCTTTATGGGTGCTCAAATATCACAAAGTCTGTCTTTCTCAGACAAGGAAACTGAGGCTAGTCTCTGCTTGGCTCTAATGCTGGGGTGGGGTGAGGTAGGAGGCTGAGGAGAGAGAAGCCAAAGCAGCCTGGTAAGGAAGGGTGAAGGCAGGCAGCCCACCGGGCTCCATTCTTTCCCCTGGAGCCATGTAGGGCTTCATCTGGGGGGGATACTGAAGTCCTGGCCAGTAGTGAATGGCTTTTTACCCACAAATGATGCTTAGGGTTTTCAGCCAGCTCTGGAAGTGATGGTGTGAACCTGGATAAAATGGGATGGCTCAAACATTCTTACTAGGAGGATTTCCCACTCCCAACCTGCTACTCTTCTCCCAGTCTTCACCATCTAAACTGCAGCTGTTCAGGGCAATGACTTAGGAGTCATCCTTGATTCCTTTCTTCTCCTCATCCTCCACATCCCCATCAGCAAATCCTTTGGCTTTACATCCAAAGCCAGCCACTTCAAATCACCCCCACTATACCCTTCTCATCTCTCATCTGGACGACTCCTAACTGGTTTCCCTTATCCCCTTATCAGTTCTCAACATTGTTCCAGAATGGTTTTTTTTTTTTTTTTTTTTTTTTAAGGGAGAGAGAGCACACATGAGATGGGGAGGGGAAGAGGGAGAGAATCTTAAGTAGGCTCCACGCCCAGTGTGGAGTCTGATGCGGGGCTCGACCTCACGACCCTGAGATCATGACTTTAAGATCACAACCTGAGCCAAAATCAAGAGTCTGACACTTGGGGCACCTGGGTGGCTCAGTCATTGGGCATCTGCCTTCAACTCAGGTCATGATCCCGGAGTCCTGGGATCGAGCCCCGCATTGGGCTCCTGGCTCAGCGGGAAGCCTGTATCTCCCTCTCCCACTCCCCCTGCTTGTGTTCCCTCTCTTGCTGCTATGTCTCTCTCTGTCAAATAAATAAATAAAAAATCTTTTTAAAAAAAAAAGAGTCTGACACTTAACCGACTGAGCCACCCAGGCACCCCCAGAATGGTCTTTTATTTTTTATTTATTTTATTTTTTATTATTTAAATATTTATTTAAAAAATTTTTTTTAAAGATTTTATTTGTCAGAGAGAGAGAGCACAAGTAGGGGAAGCAGCAGGCAGAGGGAGAAGCAGGTTCCCTGCTGAGCAAGGAGCCCGATGTGGGGTTCCATCCCAGGACCCTGGGATCATGACCTGAACCGAAGGCAGATGCTTAACCAACTGAGCCACCCAGGCATCCCCAGAATGGTCTTTTAAAAATGTAATTCATATCCACAGATTTTTTTGTTCAAAACTTGCCAATGACTTTCCATTATGTTAGAACAAAATTCACAGTTCTCCCAATGGCCTACAAGGATCAAAGAGAAACAAACTGGCCTACAGGCCATATTTGGCCCACTGTGTGTTTTTGTAACACCCATCAACTAAGAATGGTTTTTACATTTCTAAATGTTTGAAAACATATCAAAAGAATAATAACTTTTCTCGACATGTGAAAATTGTATGAAATTCAAATCTCAGTGTCCATAAATAAAGTTTTATTAGGACACAGCCATGTCCATCATTTGTTTACAAGTTGTCTACTTTCCTGCTACAGTGGCAGAGCTGAGTCATCCTGAAAGAAACTCTGTGGTCCACAAGCTCTCAAATATTTACTATAGACAAAGTTTGCTGCTGTCTGGTCTAGATGATCTAGCCTCTGGCTGGTTACTTCTCTAATCTCATGTCCTAATGCTCAGGTGTTTGTTTTTCAAGTCCACAATTTCTTTCTTTTCTTTCTTTCTTTTTTTTTTTAAGATTTTATTTATTCATTTGAAAGAGAGAGAGAGAGAGCATGAGCAGGGTGGAGGAGCAAGGGGAGAGGGAGAAGCAGGTTCCCTGCTGAGCCAGGGGAGCCCGAAGAGGTGCTCCATCCCAGGACCCTGGGATCATGACCTGAGCTGAAGGTAGATCCTTAACCAACTGAGCCACCCAGGTGCCCCTCAAGTCCACAATTTCTTATCCCCAATTCTGAAATCCAGAAAGCCCTGAAACCAAGATTTTTCTCAAGTGTGTGTTTTGGCACAGACACAACTGGTGCAAAACCTGACCTGAACTGATGTGAGACTGTTTATAATCTACTCCACATGGTGTGAGTATTCGTGTGCCTTCTTGTAGAATTCTTAACATGTTTGCTTTCAGGGTACTTCCTGAGAACTTTTTGGGGTTTTTCATTATATACAGTATATGTACCATATTATCTTTCTAAAATCCCAAAAGCTCTGGAACACAGCTGGCCCCAAGAGGATTGGACCGTGGGCCAGTATCATGGAGTGAGCCTGGGACTTTGAACCGGAAGAGGTGGGGCCAAGAACCTCTTGGTGAAGTTCCATAGAAAGGAGGCTGCCAGATCTCTGGATTTTAATTTGCTGAGCTATTGCTGTACCTTGGCTTTCTGTAGCACTCTTCCTTGGTTGGAGGTTACGATGGATGGGCTTCTCTTCCTCAGCTCAGAAATACAGTTGACAGGGACAGGTTGCTCTGGGGCATTGTTCTGGGGTTTATTTGCAGTTTCCTGTTGATGAGGAGAAATAAATACATAGGTGAGGCCTAATGATGGCTACCCACACCTGGCTTGCCCTCCAAAGAATGCAAATAGAAGGTGCTGTGCACACATGCCAGCACTAAACAGGGCGAAGGGAGGAAGACCACTCGAGGGCCTTGGAATAAAAGTAATGACGTCTAAAATTACCGACCCCTCACTATGCACCAGGCTTTGGGTGGATTAGCTCATTTAGCCTTTCCAAGCCTATGAAGTAGGTACCATTATTAGGCATCCTATTTTGCAGATAAGGAAAATGGGAAGGTCAAGTCACTGCTCAAGGTCACACAGCTGGTGAGTGGGACAGCCGGGATTCAAACCCCACCGCCCTCTCTCTTCACCTCTCCCCTGTATTCCTTCTCTTCTACAGTGCCTTCACCCCTTAACTTTTCCAGATAGTTGCTTAGTACATTACTGGATGTAGTTCCTTAAGTGTGGCATATTAACGGCTAAGCCTACAGGGAATTTAGAGAAGATTTCTCTTTATCTCCAAAGGCCAGCAAAAAGGATCACAAGTAGTGGGAAAAGCCGTCTGGAATGTGAATTTCAGGGCACACTGGTGGGAGGAAGCAGCTGGGATGAGTGAAGAACTTCTAGCTCCTCCTCCAGCCCTCTGTGGGTTTGCCTTTGTCCTTTAAGCTCTTCATCTGTAACTGAGGTTGGAAAGCCCCATGGAGAGGAAGCAGGGGGGCAGAAGGCTTCGGAGACATCAGGTGTAGTCTGACCGGTAACGAGGCCTCGGACAACAACAGTAAGAATGCAGTTCCCAGTGACAACTCAAATCTATCAGACAAGTTATTTCATCTCTCTGAATCTCCATGTCCTTGTCTGAAAGCAGGCATAACTTTTATTCATTCAACAAACATTTGTTGCACTCCTAATCTGCAGACTCTGTAAAAGGCTAAGGCTATAATGATAAAACAGACATAGTCCAATTTTCAATAAAAATACAATCCAGTGGGGGAGACAGACATTAGACAAGTAAGGACACATAAATACACACACATACACACACACACACATATCCATATACACATGTTTACATAAATTGTGGCTAAGTGCTATGAGAAAGAATAACACATATGACTCTTGGTAATTTAGACCAGTGGTTCCCAAATGGGGGCGATTTTGCCCTTCTAGGGGACGTTTGGCAATTTCTGGAGACATTTCTGGTTGTCAGCTCAGTGTGGAGCTACTGGCATCTAGCAGGTAGAAGCTCGGAATGCTGCTAAACATCCTACAATGCACATGGCAGTCCCCTATAAAAAGAATTATTGGCCCCAAATGTCAGTAGTGCCGAGGTTGAGACACTCAGATGGAGACGGAGGTCAGCCAAGCTCTCCCTGGGGAGTTCTCAGTCGGGGTGAGAGTATCCACCTTGCAGGGTTGCTTGGAGCACTGGAGATGATGGATCTGCAAAGCCCAGAGGACGGCCTGGGACACCGGGGGCCCTAAGACAGGGCATGCATACCGTGGCTAACGCCAGGCTCTGGAGTCAGACGTCCTGGATTGCGAATCCTGTCTCCTACTTAACTGAATGACCTTGAGTAAGTCCAACATCTCTACCTCCATTTCCTTGTACGTCCAGTGGCGCCAGTACACCTAGCACTACCTCCCGGGACTACCGTGAAGATCGTATGAGGTAACAGAAGTTAAAATGCTGTACTGACCTATGGTTATTGTTCAACACACACTTGTTATTCTTACTCAACATATCGTAGTTATACTTATCAGTAACCCAAAGGCTACTTCTAGGATCACATTCAGGATAAAACGGCAGGGCTGCGGGGGGAGACAACACAGGCCAGAACTTGCTCTGAAAGTTCCCTCCCTAGTGGTGCCATCTGCTCTTTGGGAGGCTCTCTTTTGGCATGTTCCTGCTCCTCTTTGGGTGTCCGCTTGCTCATCTGTAAATAAGTATAATTCCTACCCCCAAAGAGTGATCATGAAGATCTATAGCTTGTGAGGGGATTAAGAAGCAGCTGCCTGTGGCCCAGAACAGCATGGACTCACCCCATTCTTGTTCTTGCTGCCCACAGAGAGGCCCAGGGCTGGGCCCCCTGCCAGGGATCGCTGCAAGCGCTCCTTCACAGCCACCAGTCGCAGCTCCAGGTCGATCCGGCGCTCCTCCTTTGCCCGACACTGAGCTTCCAGGGCAGCCACAGCCTCCTCCAGAACCTTTAACTTCGCTCCTGTGTGTCCAGAGACATGCGTGAGAAACAGCCGAGCCTGGCCTGAAGCCTCAGGGAATCGGCAGGACCTCAGGTTCTAGTCTGTCCCTCCCAGAGGGTTTTTCCAGCCCTTAGTTCCGACTCAGAGATGGACTCTGGGCCTGGGGTTCCAGCTCCATGCTGGGTTGTATAGTTTTTTACCTGCTCTGTACCTATTTCCCCACCTTCTGGATATAGAACCTTGATTTTCCCCTGGGAAACCACTTTCTCCTCCCATTCCCTCTAGTTTGGATGGAACTGACCTCACTTTTAGTTCAAGGGGTTGGCACATAACTTGGACCTGGTCCATAACCTATCTCCATTTTCTGGTCACAGTGGTTGGTTTAGAGATCAAAGTTGGTCCAATCAGAGTGAATCCTGAGGCTTTTGTGGGGTCCATTGGGAAGAGAAGTTTTCTCTGCTAGGGCGGCTGAGAGGATTGGGTGAGGGCTAGAGCTGTGTAGCCATTATGCCACCATGACGGGCACAGAATGAAGCCAACATAGAGGAAGGCAGAAGCCAGAATGAGAGAAATATACTTTCTGGTGATATCATTTAAATCCCTGGAACTTGCTATACCTGATTGCTCAGTTTTCCAATTAAATTTTTCTTTTCTTTCTTTTAAATAAGGTCTAAGCCCAATATAGGGCTTGAACTCATGACCCTGAGGTCAAGAGTTGTATGCTCTACCAACTGAGCAAGACAGGTACCCCTACATTTTTCTTTTCATTTCTATATTTTTAATGCTTTTTTTAAAATTTCTTTTTTTTTAAAGATTTATTTATTTTAGAGAGAGAGAGAGAGCAGGGGAAGGGGCAAAGGGAGAGGGAGAAAAGCAGACTCCCCACTGTGCACGAAGCCCAGCGCTAGGCTGGGCTCTGGGCTCAATCTCATGGCCTTGAAATCAGGACCTGAGCTGAAATCAAGAGTACAACACTCAACTGGCTGAGCCACCCAGGTGTCCGTCTTTTCATTTCTAAGCCAGTTTCACTTTGGTTTCTCTTACTTGTAACTGAGTTATAATCCCCTACTGGGATTTTGCTGCTTTTCAATCTAAACTAACAAACCTGTATTAGTATCTTTTCATGCCAAGAGTTGTGCTGGGTCTTAGCAGGTTTAAAAGTTAGTTTCATTCATTCATTCATTCTATTCAGTAAATACTTATTGGGTTCTTAGTGCTTACTTTGTACCAGGTGCTGTGACAAAACAGGCCAAGACACTAAATTCATATCTTTCCATGGTTACCCTGAATGTAAATGGGCTATAAATGCCCCAATCAAAAGACATAAAGTATCAGATTGGATAAAAAAAAAGACCCATTGATATGCTGTCTGCAAGAGACTCATTTTAGACCCAAAAACACCTCCAGATTTAAAGTGAGGGGGTGGAAAACCATTTACCATGTTAATGGACATCAAAAGAAAGCTGGGGTGGCAATCCTTATATCAGACAAATTAGATTTTAAACCAAAGACTATAATAAGAGATGAGGAAGGACACTA